TGTGTGTGTGTGTGTGTGTGTGTGTGTGTGTGTGTGTGTGTGTGTGTTCTCAATGGATTGTGTGGGTGTCTCTAACGGTAATTGTGTGTGCTAATGCTTCTCTTGCAGCGTGGCCATGTTTACATATTGGAGTGTGTCTTTTAATGTGTAAGTGTTTAAGTTGTGTGGATTTTTTCATTAAGTGTGAGTGTGTCAGTGTTGGCTTGATTTTAAAGATAAACAACTATATATATATATATATATATATATATATATATATATATATATGAATGAATGATCACCAACAAGTGTGCACTCTTTCAAGTCATTGCAGCTGCAGACGTACTACAAAAAATACAAATGAAAGCATGCAACTTAGCAGACGACTTCACGTCAGACGTGTTTCTTTGGTCCTGATCATGTAAACAAACCCAGATCAACTGCAGCGATGCCTTGAAGATGTTTGGGCCGTTCAACGCGTTTATTTCTAACCTCGGGGATCTACTGTGGGTCAGGGGGTCAGGGTGTCGTGGTCCTCCGTGTGGGGACGTTGTCTCCATCAGATCCCACCACGAGGGACAGTTGCATCACTTCCTTTGAGTATGCAAATGTAGGATGGATTTTTTGAAATCATTTTCTCGTCGGCTAACTGGAGCCAGCTGAACCCACCCGTGGGCCCGGTGGGAGTCACAGAGGGGCGGCCTGGCTCTTATTTTTTAATCTAATAAAAGGACTCGGTAGAAGCTGGAATTAATCAGATCTGAGAAGGGGAGGAGAGAGAAAACCTGGAGCCATTTTGAAGGAAGAGAGGATATGATTGGAGGTAACGAGCACCTCAGTGTCACATCGTGTAGACGTGAGATTCTAAATCACCCCCTTACCTATTTGGACTGAATGTGTGGTCCTCGTGCGTTCCAGCACAAAAGGACCACACATGCTTAGTGGGTTTCCTGTGGAGTTCTTCTTGCTCTGTATCTGGGTTCTGAATCATTGATCAGGATTTCAGGCAATGAAACAAATGTGACGATTGTGCAAAATATAGTTGTGGCCTTAAACAGCTTTATTGGAAGAAACATTAAAAATAGGGACAGCGAACTGCAATGACTGATGATGCGTGTTTCATTTAATATAAAGCAACGTGTTTTTTTTATCTAATGTCTCGTGACCTCTCCTCCTCCAGCTGATAGCCGTGTATGACGAACAGGACCCCCACCATGGAGGCGACGGGACCAGTGCCAGCTCCACGGGGACCCAGAGCCCCGACCTGTTCGCCGTGGACCTCAGCGCTGGCAGCGGAGCCTCGGCCTTCCAGCCCTACCAGGTCGCCAGTGAGATCGAGGTCACGCCCTCCGCCCTGCGCACCAGTAAGTCCCAACACAAGAGAAAAAACATCAGTAAATGTATGCATTGAACAGAGGGACCGCTATCCAAAGATACATTCAGGAACTAAAACATTTACTTTACAGATGATTAATAATCGAGTCGGCTCCTCTTCTTCTCCTTTTAAATTACAAATCTGTCGTCCTCATTAGCGTCAAATATCAGCAACTGCCGCAGTATACAGCAAACCCAACAAATTACCTTATCACAGCCCGGCGGTACCTCAGCCCCGTCCATAAATTCTGTTAATTGGACAGGAGGGCCGTTTTGTTTTCTTTATTTTCTCAGGCGCAGATAGCCGTTTGATCCCCGGCCAAAGTGGCTAATTGGTTCTATTCGCTGCCTCCTCAATCAAATGTGACGCTGAGCTCGTCCACCTCGGCAGTTTTGCCGGCCAAGTCGCTTCTTCTCCTGTAATTACCGCGCGTTTGGATGGGAAGCCGACTCTTGTAGGTGATTTGTCAACTTTGCCACGAGCTAAAAAAGCAAAGAATACGACCTGCAGACATGCAGAAGCAAACAAGCACTGCGCTCACCGATTTACACAGAGACGAACACATACTCTCACTTCCTTCTCAAATATTCTCTTTCTGGGTGAAAGTGAAAGCTGTGACTTAAAGTAAAAATCCTCTTTTCCCTCGACCTGCAAACTAGAGGCATTAACACACAGCCTCATTCACACACACTCCAATGAACAAAGTCAAGTAAAAACAACGACTTTTTTAATAAGCATCTTTTATTAGCACTAAAAATATCACAACAGTTAGAATATAACGAATCCACAAGTGAACTGTGAACTGGCATTGATTGACACGGCAGCCACCAAAGATCTCCTATTCTGTCTCTATCTCACACACACACACACACACACACACACACACGTGCGCATTGTGAGGGAGGTCACTCCACTCCTAATTGGATTTCTGGGTGAGATGCTGGATGTGAATATGCATAAGAAATGGAAATCTTGGGCATAATCACACCTGCCAGTTACGTCCAATTTAACCGTCTCCATAATGAACTCCAACCCCGTTTAATTGACAGCACTGAATCTCATCAGCTGCATTTTATTGGGTTTCTAAAAGAAATGTCTGACACGGAGAAGAAGGAATTTGATTATATATATATTTATATATTTATCTTCACGAGCGCCTAATGAGAATAGCTTTCAATCACTCATTCATGTTGGATGAGATGTGAGGCGCAGGACCCAGTTTTCTTGTTCCGCCCAGCAACTCAATGAGAAGAGATTAAGCTTATTAGACGGAGAGTTGTCCACAAATGGATTCATGTTTTTTGGCTTTTTCCTCTGCAGACATGGAAGTGCTGATGAAAAGGGCCGTGTTGTGAACAGGCGAGGCTTTCAGATGCCAATTTGAAACGTTAATTTACAAAATGCAAGAATTCTTATTAAGAGTCGTACTTGAAGTCCAGAATGTGGACGTTTATCTCTAAAACATAGCTGCACTTTGAATGTTATGTTGCTTTCCACAGTTTATATTGTCGGCTTAAACTGTTCTGAGTTATTAGTTCTATCTTTATTGCTCTAGAGTGTTGCTTTACAGAGAGCACAGCGATGTAAAGCACAGTAAACCCACTTAACAGTGAAGTGGGTTTAGTGTTTGACACTACAGAGGCATTCTGAATGTTTCCAGTATGTATTGTGTTACCATTGGAAATAACACAATGATATAGTTAGCTTCATTTTTGACTGTCCTTTTATGAGACAGTCTCCCACGATGCAACACAACTAAAATAGGTAAAATAATTGTAGAAAGCACTCCAGGAAACTACAAAAACACTATTTTAAAAATAATATAACACTTGATAAGGTGTTCTTATGGCGTCAAAGTAAATAGATGCTGGTGTGTTATACATACAGAAATAACAGGCAGGTGTCAGAGTGGGTCATTTTATACATCAGGTCACCTTAGGGTGCTTTGATGATTATAAACCAAAAGAAAACAAGAAGGCACATTCAAGCCAATCAGAGAGCAGTATTTCCCACAGACATGGCCGTACAGCGCTGATCAGAACACAGTGTGGAGCTGATAGATGAAGCATATGGTGTTAGATTGGTGTACAGTCACATTCTGCTGCAGGGATGACGTGTTTATGTCGGACATCTCTGAAGTTAGCTTCGCACTGGTTCCCACCACAAAAAGCCAATTGTCTTCAATTGGATTACGCTCTGTGGCAAACAAACATTTGTGGTACTTACACGTTTCCTTCAGCAAGATGATAACAGATGAACACCACTTTATGGTTTTTGAAGCGTGAATGCAATCAGCAGAAATAAAAAGCTAATGTTAGGAAATAAACAAACATGAGCTTTGAAGGAGGAGGAGTCGGCGTGATGGTGTTTCGTTGTCTCATTACTTGTTAGCGTCGCCATTTTTAATATCGTAGAACAAAATGTTAAAATAGATTCAGCTAGTATTTTTATCTCTGGTATCAGCAGAGGGGACCGGAAGGGGGGGGGGGGGGGGGGGG